TCCTCCTCCACTTACTTGGACAACATGTGTAGCAGACCCTCACAGAACTGCGCTAAATACTGAGGCTGTGTTTCCTTGGTGAAGATGATGCCGTTGAGAGAAGCGAGCTGTATAAGGCACTGCATGGAGTGGTGGGCCATGTCGCTGTTGAACCTGGCCTTCTGATGGATCTGAGACGGCAGCAGGAGCAAAGAGATTTTTGTTTTTAGTAAGGTTTTACGGCACTCGAAACTGCATTAGATTATATGATATGAGCGCTGAGGGGTGGATGTCTACACAGAAGTCTATACAGTGACATTGCGCAAGTTTTGTTTTGGTAAGAGGTTTACTGCACTTATAACACGATTAGGTCACATGAGTGCTGAAGTTTAGAGGTGTTATAAGACAGCAACAATACAAAAAGGAAGGAGAGATAAGGACAATAGATATTTGAAAGGAAAGAAGGAGCAAACCAGACCAGAGCACCCGCCAACCACCCACACTACTAGTAATAAGTAAGCCTGGAGCAATAAGTCCATAGAGTCTAGCACACACATAGCAAACACGCACTTAACAAAATGTGCAGAGAGTGAACAGATTTTCAGGACCCGATTTTTTTGTATACATGCATATGTATTTCTCTGCATTCATATACATGTTTAGTCAAAAGATTTCTGCATCCTGCCGCCTTTTCTATGAGCATGCTAGACTGTATCTACTTTATACTGAAAGAGAAGAGGTCTGAAAATGAGCACGAGGAAAAGCCTGACCTTTTACGTTGAACATGACAAGTTCAGAACATCATTCACCGGCTGACTCTAAAACAGACTACTGTTCACATCACAAACAGAAATCCCTCTCACAAAGAGAACAATACAGCCAGCTAGAAATGCCTCACCCTAAAGAACAAAGAAAGGGTGGACTTTTCCAGCATCACATCTCTCCAGCTCTCGGGGGGTTTCAGGGAGGAGTTTGGGTTGGAATTAAAGGCACTGTTATGCATCCTCACTGTCAACAGAAAATGAAAAATATTAAAAAAAACATTACAGAGTGACAACTATTTTTCTAAATCAAATCACAGCTTTGTCTACTCCTAAACAATTGTGCTTTGGCAATCTTTTCAATTCTCATAAGCAAACTATCGGCCTTCACAAAAGTGTACTTTTTAGAATGTCATACTTGAGTCAATGTACCTCAATTGCACAAAAATATCTCTACTGTCAAATGAGCTCTGGACAATAGTGTGTCAAAACAGTTCATAACAAAACAAAACAGGCGAGCATTGCAGAATGTCTCAATACAAATACTGAAATAACAATTTCAGCTCTTCTGAGTTTCACGACACAAATGATAAAGCAATGGACAGACAAAGACAAAAAATACGTAACACCTGGTAATAACAACAGGAGAGGACTTGTCTACCTCTGTTTATCTATCAAATCTGCATCTTTTTCTTTCTTTTTCAGGGGCACTTTCGAACTATGTTATACTTAAGTCAGAATGCAAGCTTAACTTTGAAGGGCATTTTCGTAGCAAATTTTCAGCCACTCAAACCTACTACCAAAATGCATTACCATCCTAAATTTGCCTGGTCTGAAACGGACATCGGAATCATTTCTCCATTCATTTTCCTGCTGAAATGCTCTACAAAAATCCTTTATTAGTAAAGTGTTTTCAAGTCATCCATCTGTCCAGGTTTTCTACATAAGTCCCTCTGGATTTTTCCTAGTAACAGAAAGATGTACAAAGCCTCAAAGTCAATTATTAAAAATTTAATGAAGGTCTTTCTACCCCCCCCCCAATTGGACACAATTTAGATTATTAGGAGATGAGTTTCCAACCTTGCTCTTCAGAAAGAAAAAGACACTCAATTAAACTTTCTTACTTCTCCCCACTCAGGAACCCACCTCAGGCCTCCTGCGTGTGACAACCAATCGCCTAACCACAACACCACAGACTTCGATCATGACATCAAGCCAAGTGTCTTAGATCAACAAACAACAAAACCAAACAATCTCCTGAACCCCCCACTGACCTGTACGAGGTGTGAACTCCCAGCTCAGCACTTGCTCGGCTATGGACAAGATTCTGTTCAGGAAGGCTGTGGCCTCGCGGCTCAGGGGGTCCGGCTGAGCCTCGATCTCGTTGAGAACTTGCAGGGAGAACATGAACACCCTCTTCAGGTCTGATTGCTGGACAGACAAATACGGAAAGAACAAGTGATTAACTTCACACTAAGAACACAACACACAAGACTAGGAGAACACATGTACACATGTTTTAAAAGTAGTACAATCACCAAAATGCCAGTGTGGAAAAGTGGACCAAACTGTGGAACACGTCCTCCAGCAGTTAGTTAGTTTATGTCCCTCCTTTGGGAATGGCCTAAAGACACTAAAGTCAGTGGCATCGCCCCGCGGGGTTGATAACGTTTTACAGCGCTTGCAACTGCATAAGCTCATTTGAGCGCCAAAGGGTGGTCACAACAGATGTAGTCACATTGCCTTGTAGGGCCATACAGAGAAGTGCTGAACAGTGAGAAGAGTTTTTCAAACATAAGAGGAATGGTTGGGAGTAGGGGAGGAAGAGGAGGAGGATGAGAAAGAAAAAGAACAAGAACCAAAAAAAAAAGAAGAAAAGGAAAAAAAGAGTTCATGGACCTACCTCAAAAGCCCGTTTACACTTGATGTGAAACTCCCAGGTGAGGCCCACACAGCTGGTGCGGTTTGTGTAAGAGTACTCATTCAGCAGGGAGGTCAACATAGAACAGGCTACCAATTGCTGAAATACCAGTGCCACGGAAAAAAATCATTCACTATTATAGCTTATCAAAACTTTGATTCAACTCCAAAAGAAAGTAATAAAAAAACCCAACAGACCTTATGAACAATTTATAGATACAAAGTACAAAGAAAGAATGGACTGTGAAGCTTCAAAGCACCATTGTACATGGGCGGGAGAAGGAAAGTACAAATACAAAAAGCAACCGAAATATTCAAAAGAAAATTACAATGTCATTAGAGAAGAAAAAATTTTTTTTTGATCAACGAGCAAACAAACAGAAAAACTTTCATTTGGCCTCACAATGGTCTGACATAAGAACTGCAGTCTGGATACAACCTCATGCCTCGCAACACAAGTAGAAAGAAAAAAACAACAAAAGCAAAGTGCTGTGTTCCTCACCATGGTTATGTTCCCACTGCTGATCAGAGCTGTGACATCCTCAAACAAACCGTCACAGCTTTTCCCTTTCTTGTCCAGCGTTGCTCTTTTTAATATCACTGCCACTGTCTGAAGGATCTGCTCTCTAACATAACTCTGGAAACAGAAAACCAGTAAATGTTCCAGAAACGCAATAAATACTATAAAATGCCAGGTATCCCCTTCCGCCTTTTGAATCTTAAAATTTATATCAGGCTTATAAGCATGTTGATAAGATAATCTTAAAATAAACAGAAGACCAAAATAAAACACTAGTGGTGCATAAAATGTCTAGTGGCTTAATTGCCAAGATATTACTGACAACTGTGTCACCCATTGCGAAATCCTCATTTATCTATTTCAAAAATACAAACGATAAGTAAAACATCTTTTTTAAAATCAAATGCAAAATATCATTTGTCCTGTAGGGGTGTGAATGACTGGCATGTTTATGTACGATACATTAATCATTTGTTTTACGGAGCACATATCCAAACAATCCAGTTGTTCTTTTTAAGATGTCTTTTTTTAAAATCGGTGAACACTTGAAAAAGTGAGAATCTGAAAATGTCCACACATTGCAAGACAACAGCAGTCATAGTAACAATTTCTTACACCACCCCCAAAACAGACCTGCAGAGTGATGTGATTTGTGATGTATCGGAGTAGAAAGGAGCGAAGTGACTCAATAGCATCCGGCTCCATCAGGGACCAGTCCCGAATGATAGCTTCTTTAATTGTCGACGCAGCTTGGAATAGAGTGTAGTCATTTCTGCTGTTTTCTGGGGAGCAACAATGAAATTGTATTTCACATGTGCACAATCAACCGAGAGAAACAAAAAACATATTTAAAGAAAATATTCTACACAGCTAACTGCATCACTAGTTACATTTTGTTTTGTTTTAGTAAGGTTTTACAGTGCTGGCAAATTAGAGTTACATTTTGAAAAAAAAAAAAAAAGAAGACAAATTAATAAATGTAAAGACAGAACAAGCAAAAGTCAACAACGCATAATCTTGCAATCCGTCACTCACAAATCCACATTCCGTCAAATCAGCTCTGGTAGACAATGCTGCAATTGTAACAATCCTATACACCACAGTCAAAAGACAGTAAGGAACATGCTCTCACCACAGAGAGACTTCATTTTAAAAAGACAAGAAACAAATGAGTCAAATTCGGGATGACTTCATCGTAAAAAAAAAAAAAGCTATATAGATCTAATGAAAACTTGTATTAAAGGCAAACAATATATAATAATTATGAATCTCCTGCGTACAAGAAATGGTTCAAGTTGTCAAACTTACCGAGAATGTATTGACAAAGACTGTATGGCATGCGAGTTTTGCGGAAATTCAAAATCAGGTCCTGAGCTCCTTGTCTCTGTTCTCGGGTCACCACATCAGGTGGGGCCTGCGACATAAATGTCAAATTGGATAGAGAAGAACAATCTAGCTTAAGATTATTATAATATTACTGTTCATTTATATTAAATTATGCATGTCACTGTGGGAAAGCCCAAAAAAATTTAATTTTTCACTTTAGCCCTTTTTTATTTAGTACCTAAGAAAGAATTTTCAATTCTAAGAATTATGCTTCTTAGAATTTGAAGAATCGGTTCATATAAATTTTAAAAAGTTATGGGGTTATAAAAGGTCGGCAAAATATGGATGACCCACATAGAGGGAAATACTCCAAAACAGTGGACCACGCAGTAGCAGATTTTGTAAAATAATCGATGATATCTTGGTAATTAATTGGAGTGCCAGAGAGAAACTTGGCTACCCGATGTGTTTTTGGGTGGAAAAATCATTTCTATCCTCAGATTTACTAACCATTTCGTGGTTATTTTGTTATAATTAAAATTTTGGCGTACATATTACAGTTAGGGAAACATAGCTTTTTTGAGAGCATCCAAGCAAAGGAATGAAAGGAGAATCATGATCGCCGATGTCTGTCACAGACCAGGCACTGGATGATGATGATTATGATTAAATTTTGCTCATAGGGGTGTCGGGATGAGTCCATTTTATTTATAGCATCGTATCACAGCATGGGATCTTTAAGAATATGTTGGCAGTGTGACTTAATAATGGCAAAGCTTTCTTTGATGACTTTAGACCATGCCAACCTTAAAAGATAAGTTGATTCAATCTAGCATGCCGTACAATTAAAAATTCTTTTTCCCCGTTGAGACGCGAACACCCCGAGGCGAGATAAGCTTGCCTCGGAGTACCCCCATTGCGATGTTGCAGGGGAACAGAGAGAAAAACAACCGGATGAGCACGCCTGCCATTGCCCTATTTCAAGTGACCAATGAACGGGCTCGGAACAGCCTTGCGAGGATTTGTAGGTCACATAAATTTGCCGCAAGAGTGAGGGGAAAATGGCCGGTCTCCATGCGAAGCCGCTTTGGATAGGGGGTAGTCGTGCATTTAAGATCGGGTCTAAACAACTACTCGACACAGAACATTCAAATTTGAGCACACTATAGAAGATAGTCTATAGAGATCTATTACCATCTCGGCGTTGAAATTCAAGCTCATAGTTTTCGGTACACCAGATACGAAAGTGTTCCCGACACCAAAAGTATAGGTTAATTTATGTGTACAAACTTCAACGTCCACACATATCCTTAGTTTGCCCTATTTTTGATTGGTTGCCGAGTTTCATTCACATTGGTTCAGAAATAGAGCAGACCGAGGTTGAGAAAGTTAGTCACCTACGCTACGACACGGTCCAAAAATTCACCCACAAACGGGGACCAAACTTTCGCCGCATGAGAAAGCCCGATTGGCATTGCTAGTCACTGTGAGCCTGTGTGTGTGTGTGAGAGTGTACATGTGTGTGAGTGTGTGTACGTGGTGAAACACCAAACCAATGAGCCAGGATCAGGACAATAAAGATGTTTTATCGGTGATCTTGTAGTTCCGTTCATTTAAGTCCACGATCCATTTGTTTACATCCAGAGAAGAAATCCAGAAGTCTTGAAGACCAAATACTAGATTCTCTATTTGAATTAGGCTACACAAAGAGCAGGGATGCAACCTAACTGCAAAACATCAAACTAGGACAAAATTCAGGGGGCATGCCCCCCTGAACCCCCCCCACCTCCATTTTTTAAAGGTTTTTTTTAACGAACGAAACTACAAAATCACCGTTTTATCTTCTTTTAATTCAATAAGGTGTCCTTCTACTCTTGCATGAATGTGAGTACCGTACATTGTGGGTCTTTTCTCTATATATGAGAATGACGTGCTTCTCCCTTTCTTTTAGGACAAATGCATTTTGCAGTTTGCGCTTTCTATTGGCGTTACCGGGTGCTCAAAACCAATCTCTACCAGAAATGACCCTAGAGAAGCCAGGGCTGAGGCTGCACAGGATTGTGTGTCCGTGTCCGAATAGACAGTCATAAAATGGAAAATTAAAGAAAGCAACCGACAAAATAAAAAGGTCAAAAACAATCTACGCAAACAAAACAATTTTGCAAAAAACACTTTATTTCAAAGTGAAAATACCAATTTAATAATCAGCGTTCGTTATAGCGAATGCTGAGTACAGACTGCTCAAAGCACTCGTCTTTCAAAGAGACTTAAGTCTAGAATCTTACAGCACACCAACTTTCACGTCTGTTAGAAACATGAGAAGTTTTAGGCCAATGTTTGCAGACACCAAATCACCATTCATGAATTTTCATAATCATGGTCCATTCTGTGTGGTGAGCACGCTAAGTGAAAACATGGGATAGATATCTACGACAATAAAAACAAACAAAGGAACTATTGCAACCACAGTGTTGGGGACCCAGCTTCGGGTAGAAAAACAAAGAAAGAAATTTCAAGAAGTAGGCCTAATGTTACCATGAACACTTGAGACGCTCTTTCCAGTTCTGTCATGACACTGTGTTCCGCCATCTTGTCGCTTACGAATTACTTTACCAGGATTTCTACAAGTTTGTTGTAAAAATCACCTATTCGCCTCAGCAACGTGTCCTTGAAGCAAAAAGATGTTACCATTTTAAAAAGAAAAAAAGATTGGGCACAACAAATCTAAAAACTTAAACAGATCACGATTGAATACATACATGCATTTTCTATTTTTTTAAAGTTAAACTACGGCGAATCACTCACTAAATAGGACTGAATAAACAACATGATTTACGGATTGTTTTGCCTGTATGTTTCTTCCAATTTATTGAACCACCAAACAGTAAACGTCGTAAAATGCTCAACCTACATATCTACAACCAAGCTCATTTCCTTTTGGTTTATATATTAAACAATAGCAGGCAGATTTATCAATAGGCCATCAGTGCAAGCCATTAGTCTGGTTAGAATTGACCATCGGCAAATTTGGCAACTGACTTATTTTCTACAGCAACGAAATTTTTTAGATATTGCAGGGGAGACAATCGTGTAATTTCGTTTATGTTTTTAACATTTTTGTCTTCTATCTCTATCAGCTCCCCTTATTCAGGATTTTACTTGATTACCGTAATCAAATTAAAATCCTGAATAAGGGGGGCTGATAATACATGTATATAAACCAAAAGGAATTCTACCAACTTGTTCGACAATGTTATGTATATATTTGTTAGAGCCAAGGAGGTAGTTATATGATTAATATAATATTCTGAGTCCTTGGTAAGCACTGATCAACCCCGCATAGAGCATTATGGTGGCCCTCTATTATAGGCCTACTGAGGGCCAGCGCAGACTGTGGCAGTACCTACGGCAAGAGGAAAAGAAGGGGGTGTAGGGAATGTGGAGATAAGACCTGTGGGGGGGGGGGTGAAGGAATGGCAAGGCAATTCGTGAAGACGATTAAATTTTAATGTGTTCTTTTATACTTGGATTTACTTGGATCCAGAGCTAGAATCATAGCAGGCGGCACATGTCCATAGCTGCTCATCTCTCCTTTCCAGCGTCCACCTCAGGGTCTTCCTGCTAATTGTCTCCAGGAGGAGCTGGTTTGAGACACGCCTGACCACTCCTCGGAACAAACTTTTTTCGCTGTGCCCCGCACACACTTTTCTTTTATTGTGCTGAGCGTATGGGAGTCTGTCTCCTCTTGGTCATGAAGGCTCTCCTTGCATCTGGCGATCACCATTGGTGGGTCGAGCATGATTCGGCCATTGGGTGCTGCTTTGCTGGCAAGTTCATCAGCACGTTCATTTCCGTGCACCCCGACGTGACCAGGGCAGAACACCCATGTAATCCTTAGGAGGTGGCTATTTGCAATGAGAGCTCTCCAGTCACTGTAGAGCCACCCACTCCTGATTTTTTCTAGGGTGCTCATCGAATCTGTGACTAACAGGGCATATTTATACGCTTCCATACTGATCCATTCCAGCGCCTCTGTTATTGCCTTGACCTCCATTGCCATGCTCGATGTAGTGCACTCGTAAGCTCCAGACTGTTCTTTAATTATCTTCCCGTCAACTTGAGCACTGAACGCCCACCCAGATTTCTGGCCACGCCTCACTGATCCGTCGGTGAAGACGACAATATCACCAATCACTGAATTTTCCTCAAGGATGGCCACAATTTCCGCATTATTTGCATTTGCTGGCCACTCACGACACTCTCGACCTAGCGTAGCTATCACCTTCATGAAGTTGCTCATGTCTGTCTCCAGCCTCATCCAGTCACATCCTCTTCTTTTGTCCTCGATTTCACAACACATATCGAGAGTTCGCTCTGCTTGCACCATCCATGAAGATCCTCTTTTCAATCTTTGGCGTACTTGGTTTCCTATTTTCGGACGTAGAGGGTGACGTTCGTCTGCTGTTACTCGAAGGTAGGCCTTGACTTGTGCTAGCTTGTGTCGGTGGGTTAACGTTGGTAGGTCCAGCAGATACATGTATCTCATCGCTGATGCTGCTGTGTCACTGGTGCATCCCAGAAGAGTTCTCATTCCTTCATTTTGAATTAAATCGAGGCGATGTAGTTTGGTTTTGGATAGGGTGAGCATACCAAGACCATAGTTCACTACAAACAGTACAATCGCTTGAAGCATGATCATAAGGGCGCGTTGGGGCATAGATGCAGCCATCACTCTCAATGCAACAAGTCCTTTCCTTGCTCTGGTGATAATGTTCGTCACATGGTTTTTTGCAGAGAGGGTGCGGTCAAAAGTAATATTCTTTTATATTTATGGCAGTAGTTTCGGCCACCCTACAAACAATGAAGGACCGCCTATCAACAGCATGCAAGGTCTTTAGCTTGCTCATCAGAGTTAGGAAAACAGTCGTCCTTACTCAAGAAGGTGCAGAGCAGAGCCATATATGTCATATGGCTGAACGACAAGGAGCTTGAGACAGTGGACAAGTTCTGTTACCTGGCGTCTATCATCAGCTCTACTACATCACTTGATTATGAGATCAGCACCAGGATAGGGAAAGCAGCAACAACTTTTGGAAGGCTGACAAAACGAGCATGGGAAAACAAAAGATTAACCACCAAAACAAAGATCAAGATTTAAGAAGCATGTGTCCTCAGCACACTCCTTTATGGATCTGAAACATGGACCTTGTACAACAGACAAGAAAAGGGCCTCGACATTTTCAATCTCAGATGTTGCCGCAAGATCTTAGGCCTTTCGAGGCGCGACAAAGTTAAAAATGTTGAAGTGTTGGCACGGGCAAACTTCCCGAGCATGACAACTATCCTGTGTTTAAAAAGATTGAGATGGATGGGCCTTGTCAAGAGAATGGACGACAACCGGAGAACTTGACCAAGGAAAGTGACCAAGAGGAAGACCAAAATTGAGGTACAAAGACACCTGCAAAAACAGCTTATCTAAGCTTGGAGTAAATGTTAGCATCTAGGAAGAAATAGCTGTGGACAGGAAAACATGGAGGAAAATGAAAAGAAAGAACTACAACGCTAGAGAGCAGCCTTAGAAACAACCAGGCTGAGAAGCGCCAACGACGAAAGGAGAACAGCGGAAATACAGAGTTTCGATGTATGACACATACATGCAAGCACTGTGACAGAATCTGCGCTTCAAACATAGGAAGAATTAGCCATGAAAGAAGCTGCATTAAGACAACCTTGAG